GTCCAGCAAACACATCGGCCTCTTTCCTGTCATTTGAAAATGGATGTATGAATGTTTTGTGTCGATGGATGTCCGGGAAAGAATGTAAGGAACATCAGTGTATGAGTTCAGAGAACGCGATTTCTGCGGCTTTAGATTTTCCCTGTCGGATGGGTAGCTATTGAAATTATTCGTTGAATTTTTGCGCATAAAGCGAGATCGAAAATCTCGAACATATATTAATTGCTGGCAAATCTGTCAGTCATATTTTATTCTTGTGGGCATGCGCTACAGAAAGGTATATGAATTGCCCGGATTCACTTCTGCTCAATGGGTAAGAAATTCACATTTCTGAGCATACATCAAATGAAATCTCGATTTCCGTTGGTATTTTTCTGTTACAAGAGGCCAGAGTGCAGACAGGCTAGCGTCTTGGGTGGCATAAGGCGGACGTACTGAATTCATGAGAAGTGTGACAAGAAATAAGTGTTGTTTTCGAGGCACATTGCACACATACACATACACATACTCCTATTATAAACTGATGTTTGGTTCATTCATGACGTCGCGTGACGACTGACGTTTATTTACTCAAGTGGAGATTGTTGTTGTTAATTTTGTGATACTTCTAGCAAAAATTGTTCACCTCAAGCCGGGAGGTAATCTGAAGGAAAGTGTGGAGATAATTTTGATGATTGTATGCGTTTAACTGTTTTTATTTGATTTTGTTTTTATTATTTACGTACCGAATTGAGAGCCTCTTAGCCATTAAAATATAGTTTGAGTAAGATTTGATGACGTTCGCAGGAATAGTTTAGCTGCATTCTTTAATGTGAATTGTTTGTTTATGTCTCAACGAGTTCCTTTTCAACTTAATTGGACGTAATTTTGTGGAATGTTAAAAGTATTTTGTCGCGATTGAGTTTTTTTTTCTTGTTGTAAGGAATGCAGAGTGGAAATACGACGGCATCAGATATTTTCGGCAACTGTGATCATGCAAACAGTTCAGTGGGCACAGTTCCTGCTGGTTCACGATTAGCACAGTACCTTCAACCACCTTTGCCTCGCCATTCATCATGGAATACCCGTTAGTGTTTAGATATCTCGTTCATTTCCTTTTCATAAAGAATTTACGATAATCCATCAAAACTGATGAAAGCTTCAAAAATTATTCCCAAACAATGCAAGTTTTTAAATAGTCGTTGTTCTGCCCATAAATTCTTCCCTTTTGGATGTTGAACAGATCTTTTTTTCAGCACTGTCTCAGCCACAAACTGCAAACTCTCCATATGGCCTTAGTAGTCAAGCTGGAATGCCGCCCTCAACGGTACTTTCATTCATTACAAACGTGATCATTTCATCGCTCAACTAGTGATCATTTTGTTTCATTCGTTTTATCAGTTGTGATACCAAACATTGCAAGTTTCTACAACTTTTGTTGGTATTAGTAAAATTTTCGTGCAAAAATTTTCGTTGTTCTGAGTCATTGTGATTCAGGTGCCCGGTCTTATGGCATCATTCGCGCAAATGGGACTTGGCGATGATAAGGATTTAAATCCGCCAATTTCGGTGGCTCCTTTCTCGATGCCTTCTTCATCTCAACGACCACTCAGTTATGGTCAATTATTTTTGTATTGTTATCAGCATCGTTTCTAATGCTCTTATCGATTTCGATTATGCTCATGTTTGTAATGCTCTTATTATTTTTTCTATGCTCTTGTTCGAAAATTCGTGAAGTTATGCAAATCAACCGATCAGGTTATGCTGATGACAAAACCTATTAGGACTGAATCAGTTTTCAGCTGGCACAACATCACAAATGCTAGGTCCCGCATCAGCAGCAATGCACGATCCATTACGTGCCAGTGGCCATCTGGGTGATGCAAATTCTGCGTCTGGATATACTGTTAGAATTTATTTATTCACACTTTTTTTCGTCGTTTCATCAATCTTCACGTAATCATATCTTCAGAAACCGTTAAGTGAATGTTTATGTAAGTGATGTTATGCTCAATCATACAACCAATCGAATGTGAATAGATTCAAACATTGCGTGGATGTTGAATGGTCTGCGAAAAAAATTTCTTGAGCCGTGAATGTACTGAAACACATTATGAATTCATGCAGTATGTATGCAAAACATTGTGACTGATATAAATACTCGCCGAGAAGCACTTGAAAATGGAATAAATGAAATCCTTTCAGCAGGAAAACTACGGTGGAACCATATATTTTTTCCAACAGCAAGCTGGGAGTGCACCTCAGGATCAGCCGCAACAACCACAACAACAACAAACAACGAGAGAAGAGCCACAGGCTGACAACCGCATAGCAGTGGTACGTTTACAGTGATTTTGTTCCAATAAATTGGTTTTCATTTGAGAATTGATAACTGCTTAATTTGTTCTTCTTCAAAAATTCAGTCGTCTGCTCATAATTGGATAATGAATTGGTTCTGAATAGTTAAAAATTTAGACAACACCAGGCTGTTTCGCGTACCAAGGTCCATTACCACATATTGGTAAATACAAACCGAAAGGATCATCATCACAATCCTTTTTCACATCACCTGAACTCAAAATGGTTTGCGTTTTTCTTATCAGTGCATAAAATGTTGGATTCATTTCCGTTCTTTTGAGTGATATCGTCAAACTGCAGATGTGCACCTTTAAAAAAAGGGTGTTCGTTGAAAGAATTTTCAGAAATTGTTTTTTGTTTTGTTGAAGGAATTGTTGCGACGTCAGCTGGCCGTGCAGTGTCGTGCTGATCCGTCAGTATATGTGGACTTACCGCAAGCGGTGGAACACTTCCAGAATTTAGTGCCATTTGAACCAATGAAAATGTCGAGTTTGGGTGGTGCACACGTTGAGAGGGGTGTATTCTCACCATATACAACAACCGTTTACAAGGCGACGAGTATTCGTGATGGAATGCCGTATTGTCTGAGACGAATACACAGTGAGTGCATTGGAAATTTTGTTGCTTTGCTAAATGAACTGAGAGTGTATTTGGAAATAGGATTGTGTGATTGGTTGTGTAATGCGAAAGAATCAGTGTGCTTGCAGATTATCGTATCAACTCACCGAAACAACTGAATCTGGCCGATAATTGGAAGAAGTTAATTCACGCAAATGTGGTACAATTAAGAGAGGTGTTCACGACGAGACAGTTTGGTGATCATTGTTAGTTTTCATTGATAATTGTGACAGTTCAACTTTGTTTTTGTGTGTCGTATTCGATGAACTATTTGAAATACTGAAGTTTAGTTGGGCATTTTACCTGGACGAATTGACAATTTCATTGTTTGTAAACTGCAATGAGAAATTTGAATTTCAGCGTTAATATTCGTGTATGATTTTCATCCTCTCTCTGAAACGCTAAAATCACGACATTTGAGTAATCGCGTGAATGGTATTTCTGCAACTTATATGGACGGTTAGTCGGTGGTTCTGATTGTATTCCACAAAAATTGAGGATTATTTTGGAATTTCAATCAAAAGTGAATTCTGCGATGGAAGCGTTGCTGTTTTATGAGAATTTAAATATTTCCTTTGTACTGTTCGATTTTTATCAAACTTCAAGCAGTGATAAAATGCAGATAAATTAAATTGGTCATCTTTGAATAGATGAGCTCAGTGATTGTGACTTGTTCGTCGAGTTTTGTCTTTTTGCTCTATCATTTTTTAAATTTTAATTTTTCTGTGATGAATGTCACGAAATGTTACTATCGTCAAACTTCTCATCGATATTGATATCAACTAACAGCATCTATGAATTCGATGTATTATTGTTTTTAGGAATGGGAAATGGTGGTTTGCTGGAATCGTTGATATGGACGTATATAGTGCAGTTGTCATCAGCATTACGTGCAATTCATTCGAGTGGTATGGCCGCACGAACAGTCGATCCCAGCAAAATTATCCTCTTCAGTAAAACGAAGTCAGTTTTGATTCAGTTTAATTCTGTTTTTTTTTTTTTAAATTTACTTAGTGTATTTCTGTATTGTTTCACTGGACAGTTCGAATTGAAATTGAACTTCAACAGCGGAGCATCGTAAGTAGTTGAAATTCAGGTTGATGTTGAGTTCATGCGGTATTCTGGATGTGATCACTCCTGAAAATGGTCACAATTCTATCCAACATCAACAGGTTCTTCGTTTATTCGGCTCTTGTTTGCATTCGTTCATATTGTCCTTTGATGTGACAGACGACGAAACTGAATGACATGAGAGTCGGTAGAATTTACATGAACGGTATGGTGCATCAGCGACATGTAGCGCATAGTCTTAATTATTGAAATTTTTTTGTCATCTATCGGTAACGGAAAGAAATTAGGGCATTTTTAGGATTGTGCAATTTTTGTTTGGTTTTTGAAATGAAGGCAAAAGGCTGAATGTGTTGTTTAGCAGGAAGATTTGTGTGGTTTGGGTCGTGTAATAGTGGCGTTGGCAATGGGATCGTTGCATGCGGCAAGACGTGAAAATTGGTCGTCGAGTTTGGCTGTTATTGCACAGCATTATACCACCGATATGAAAAACATCATCACGTAGGATTCTTTTCGTTAATTTTGCTCATTCAATTAACTTGAATTTTTTTGTGAGAGCTTTCTCATTTTATGAGAAACATCTAAGTTTTAGTGAATATCATCGTATTGTCTTACTTATTCGAGCCTTTTTTGTTCTCTATTGGTAATGAAAAATAATGTTCCGTGCATTTATTTAGAAACCTAATGAAAGAATCATGATTAAAATGGTGATGTCATTAGAGAATTTGTACAAATAATAGAAGAATTCTCAATTACAATAATAGTGTGGTAATGGTAATGTTGAAAGGAATGGTGTTAATGAATAATAAAGTTAACTCGTGAATTCTTTTAGTTTGTTATTGAGTGCGTCAGCACAAGGCAATCGAAATCGCTCGATCAACGAGGTAATGCCGATGATTGGGGCACGTTTCTATGCGCAGTTGGAATCCGCACAAATGAAAAACGACTTATTAGAAAACGAATTATCGAAGGAATTAGAGAACGGAAGATTGTTTCGTTTATTATGCAAACTTAATACCATTATCGAGAGACCACAGTTAGTTTTTTTGATAGTTTTTATTATTGTTTTTATTTGTTTTTGGTGTCATGTTGAGTATTGTTTTAAAATATTTTTATCATTCTGACAATTGTTATTCATTTCGCAAGTTGGCTTCATGTAATAGTAGTAGTGTTCCTTTAAATATGAAAAAAGTATTTGTGAATTTTGATTCTTGGAAAATGTGAACATGTTTATGTGTTAGGTGATGTATTAGAACAGAGTGATATATTCGGAATAATGTTTCAGATTCCAAATGGACATGTCATGGAGTGAGACCGGTGACCGTTATTTGCTGAAACTGTTTCGTGATTATCTTTTTCATCAGGTCACTGAGGCTGGCAAGCCGTGGATTGATATGGCGCATATTATTTCGTGCCTTAATAAGGTAAGTGAATCACATATAATTTTACACTGTTGTTTATGGAAAATATGTGGTTTGTTTTCAGTTGGACGCAGGCGTAAGTGAAAAGATTCAACTGGTTTCAAGAGATGGTGACAACGTACTGGTGGTGTCATTTCTCGACTTACGACAGTGTCTGGAGAATGCATTTTGTGAGTTGCATAACGCCGCCACAGCGCCAGCACCATCTGCAGTGGCCACAACAATCAACGCAACTGGCTCAATGCTTCCGATGGGACCACGATAAAGAAGTGAATCGTTTCACAAACAATTTTATTTTCAATTTAATTGTTTCTTTTGGTCCATCTCTCCGTTCATAATTTTTATCAAATGTATTGAATTTGATAGAGGTATTACATTGTTGCTAATTGAGTGTATTGTGCAAAGTATAAGAAGTATCACATGTTGCCATCTGATTTCGATCGGTTAATGGGATAGCTGAATGATTGCTCTTTTTAATTGCGTCGTTGGAATATAGTGATGGAAAATGAAAAGGTTTCCAGTATTTTGTTTGAAAATTATCGTTGATTACCTTTTGCGGAATGGTTTTGAAATTCTCGTTTTCCGTTGAAAAGTAGTTCAGTTTCAGAACGCCTTTGAAAAAAATTTAATTTTGAGCAATCACAATAGAATTTATAAGGATGGCACAAAGTGACTGTATCGCTAGCAGTTTTTGTGCAGAGATTTTATTCATATGCTTGCCTTTTTCTCATTTAGTTTTATTTCTTGACGTTTGTTTGTTTACTCTTTTACTTCTTCATTTGTTGTTTCATTTTTTAAGTGATTGTTTTTAAAATTTAAATTGTGCGATTGAATTTGTGTGATTGATTATGTGTATGTGTGTTTAACAAACATGTAACGCCTCGCATATATTATTTCAGGTTTCATTTTAATTGCTGTTCTGTTCATTTTGTTTAAAGCTGAGTTCTTGTTCTTCTCGACATTTTGACATTCATTGTTTTTTTGAATCGGATGATTTATTTAGATTTCGAGTCTGAAATTACGATACGATCTTGATTGGTTTTCTCTTCATTTGAGTATATTCTATGGATAGTTCTCTGTTTAAATTTCGTTATTCCTTTTTGAATTCACTTTGGAAGGGGTGATCGATTATAGGCAGCGAAATTTTTATCCGAAATATATCTTCGATAAGAGTGATTAATCCTCTTCATTTAGTATCTCTCTGAGTTTTCTTGAAGTGTAAGTTTTAATCAAAATCAGTCGTGAAGTTGTTGTTTGGTTCATAGTCGAGTCTTGGTTCGATGTTCTAACGTCGAGTTAAGATTTGTTTGCGCTGAAATGGTTATTCGAGTAATTTTATTATATTGATTGTAGTTGGCTGATCGTATGGTTTAGCGAACATCTTAAGATCAGTTCAACAACGAGAGATTGGATTTGTTTTGCTCTCTTTTGAGTGTTTGTTTACTCGTTTTGGTTTTTGTTGTTTGTTTTAAAATTTGTATCGTCATCAAATTGCCTCATTTACGTTGATATTTTCATAATTTCATTTCATTTATCAGTTCCGTTTTTTGTGTGTCTTTGAGAAGTTTTGCGAGAATTGATTTGTTCGAATAATCGGCGCTTCATTTTGATTCGCTTTCGAATTTGATGTTATCGGGTGTCGATGAAACGACCGTTGTTGGTGTGTGCTGTTATTGTTACTGTTTCTTTGTTTGTATATGTCTAGACGCAGCATTCTCTTATTCACAATTTTATATTATTGTTATTATTATTATCCATTATTTATCAATATTCGTTTGGATATTGGTGTCATCTATCCTTTTAATAACTATTATTGATAATTACAAAATACCACTGAAGAATTTCCAATCATTTTACACGAATGAATAAGTTATGTTCGTCTTGTTGCGCTTTTATGTTTCACTTTTTTTACTTCTTTGATTCGTTTTTGTCGTTTATGATCAAATTTTGTCAACCAAACATCCAAGTAGCCATCATTCGTGAATCATTTTGATGTTAACCGATATCGTACAAAGTTCTGAATTTGTTCATTCGTTCTTTGATATATTTGATTGTTAAGGCCGCAGTCGCTGTTAGTTACCACAATTGCTATTGTTTGTTTCGAGATTTGCTCTGTTATCATCAACATTATCGTTTCATTCTACCTTATCTCATACTATTGTTATTACAATCATTATTGGTCTTTTCTATTCCTCATGGCTCGTCGACACGATGACTCGTTCAAGTCGATGTTCATTACAATTTTTTTTTAGTTGGAAAAGTTTCTTTTCGGTTTGGTTCACAACCATCGTTGCAGTTTGTTTCTTTGAAGAGGACGTTTCTGGCGGGTTTTCTACTAAATTTTTTGAGGTCATAGATATTTGTCATTTGTTTTTGTCACTTTTAGTGTGAGTTTTTCTTTGTTTTGTTGGGCAGAGTGTGTGTTTTTTAAATTTAAATTCTGTTGAGAATGTTACCGTTTCGTTGTTGTTGTTGTTGTTATTATTGTAACGAACGGGTGCTTAATAGAATTGATTGTGTTGATTAGAATGATTGTAGTTATCGGTCTGCGGTCAACTCATTTTTACGCTCCCAATTGTTCAACTTTGTTTGGTTCTATTTGAGTTCTGATTCTGTTGTGTTCGATCACTTGATTATATACAAATATTTGGTGCACCACTCATCGACCGTCAAAACTGAATTGAAAACAAAAACCAAGAAAGAAAATTGAAGAACTGAAATTAGATCGAATTGAATTGCATTCTTTTCTTTTTTTCAACTGTTGTGAAATCGTTTTGTTGGTTCGTTCAAATTGCAAGTTGTTAATTGTGTTGAAAATCACTGAATCTTTCTTTCTTTCTTATTTCTTCTTATTTTATTTGTTTGGTTTCCTTTTCTTGCTGTGTTATTTTTTTACTGTGGATTTTTAGTTTTTGATGCATTGCACAATTTATTGGTTTATTTGAATCTTTCCAAATGACGCTATGTGCTGTTCGTGTGCAAATTGAAACTTTTACGATTGGTTTTTATTGTGCATTCTTTTTTTGTTCAACATTTCACTATTAAACGCTTTTTGACGTTTTTTGTTTGCGTTAATAGTTGAGTTGTTTTTGTTGTTTGTGGATGGGATTCATGTGAAGGTAAATTGAAATCTGATTTCGATTGTTTCATTTTGGTGAGAGATTATTGTTTGTTTTTTTTGATTTGAGTGCGTTCTAATGTAATAATTATTTTTTACGAAAAATGACGAAGTAAAGGTTGAATAATTATCCGACTTTCATCGTGAGTTCTTGATGGGAGAAGGTTTGTGTCTGTTTTGAATATGGATTCAAAGCAGATACAAATCTTCTCCCAATAGGATGGATTCAAATATGAATCCATCATAACCTTGAAAAAACCTTCCACATTTTAGACAAATCAGAATTTTTTAGTGATATTCGTAATGCTTGTTTGACTTCAGCACGATGTCAAATTTAGTCAATACTGATTCCAGTTAGAGCAATCTCACTGAGTTGAAATTTTTATTTCGGAATTTTGCGATGATTGATTTTGCACCATAGTCGATGACTTTCGAATAATTTCCATATCCGCTTCTGTTCGTTTCACTGTTCTTTTCCTTATTTGATATAACGAATGAAATTATTTGCAGTTGCGTTTTAGGAGCGAATTTCTATATCAATAACCTCTCTTCATTTTCTACGGAGTACTTCAGTCTTTTTTTTTGGACTTTTTTCACTGCGGTCAAGAATGATTTGTTTCATTGTGTAATTCATTTATGTATTGGTGCATGATTTTTGAGGCACGTGGTTCTTGTAGAATCTGCATATATTTATTGCTATTTATTAAGTCGTTTGTTTTGTTAAGTCGAATTCTGTTGAGAGTTGTGCCGAATGCAGTGTTATTTGTAACATTTCGCAGTTGAAAATGAAATAAAACGTTCGTTCGTTTAAATGTAATTCAAAATGTGTTATGAATTATATATTTTCATTCGAATTCCTTTGTTGATTTTGAATTTGAAAGTTGTTGATAATTTGGTGGGGTGGATTTTCTCTTCACTCTTCTGTTAATTTCTTTTTCATTTTGTGCAAATGACTGGAATTGTACTCCACGAATTTATGATAATAATAATAATTATTATTATTACCGTTATTATTGTTCTTGTATTGTAAACTCCATATTACCATACTTCGATGTGCTAAACGATGTATTATCCGTATAACTTTTACAGTTATTTCTGTCGGAAAAATTGTTATGAATAGGATCATAAGTATAAAGAATTATCGTTATCATTCAATACGTATTCTGTATTGTACGCTTGCGTTTTTCATCTGTTTTTTTATTGTTTTGTGTTTGTTTGTTACAAATAAATAAAGTATAAGATTCATTTCAATGAAATACTTGTCATGTCATGCTTCAGACATCATCCTCTTCTTCCGAATCATTCGACTTGATTTTGATCGATTCTCGATATCTTTATCTCCATGCATTGTTCCAAACATAGAGTTGTTATTGATAAGATGCTGGTAGAGTAGACTTGCACGAAATACCTTCAAGTCGCGGGTTTAACTTCCTTTTATGGGTCAACTTTTGCTGATTGTGAGTATTCGGGACTGAACTGATTATGAATAGTAAATGACCAATTAATTAGATTTCATCTCGACTTCAGTAATATTCTGAATTCGATTCACTTTATGCTGTTCAGACATTTAGGTTATCTAGTGTTGTAGATTAGATGTTTGCATGCAGATTAGATCTTGAAATCCTATATGTGTAGCAATGCAAATTAACTTTTTTGTTGAAATGTTATCCAATGAAACACATTCGAAAACTCATTGAAACAAAAATTTTTGGAGAGCAAAACGACGATTCGTATTTAAAGAGGCGTCAATCAGTTGAGTTGAGTGTGGTGATGTCGACGTTGCGAGAAGAGAACAGACTGTGGCAACAAATCAAACAATTGCAGTACATACCAAAGGAGAATCGTAACGAGTACAACTATCGTACTCCTTTACTTACGGTAACTCGCCATTTCATTCAGCATTCTCCGAATTCTTCGTCCAGGCGACAGAGTTCACAAGGTGTCTGATTCTCATCGAACAACATCTCGTACCGTTAAGCTAGAATTTTGTGCACAGTCAATCCTGGAACAAAGTTCACATAACATTTATGAAAGCGTTTAATAATACACAATCAGTTATGTGTATATGAAAGAAAGAGTTATCCCTAAAACTAACAGCTCTCAAGCAAGTAAATTTCACTAATCAGCGATAACTGAATAATACAAAATTTTTGTTTCACTGTTTCAATAAATTCATTTGCATTTTCTAAAAGTCAAGACGTGAACGTCATGTGAGTTATAATAGTGATGCTCGAAGTATTTTTGATTGCAATACTATTTCAGTTGATTGAGAAGGTGTTTGTGACGGATTTACAATTTGCATTTGAACAACATGCTGATCTATTGTATTTTAATGTATTGAGAGAGCAAATTGATCTCTTCAAAAAACAAACACCAATGAAAAGCAACGAAAGAATGCTCAAAACGGTACGATACAAGTCCTTAATTAATCCGAATCCTCTTCAACACTTTCATCTTCGTGACATCTCAGTTGGTGAGGAGCTCGAGCCCAGCCTTCTGTTGAATTCCAATTCTAGATACTTTGCGCAAGTTTCAGAAACATTTATCTACGGAGGTGAGAAAACTCTGAAAATGAAATTGATCAATTGACAGAGAGTATGTCGTCCTCGATGAACTTCATGGATATACCAATCACCCGAATTTGACAGTGAAATTCATCTAATTCAGAATATTTGTTTGGGTTATTGTCAGAAACTTCAGAAATTCAGTATTTGTTCGAAACCTTAAAAACAGTTACAATAATCATACGCATTTCATTCTTCAGCAGATGTACACCGCAATCTATGAAAGTCTTGGTGAGCTGGCTAATTTGAGTGTAGTCGTTCAAGATAAATATGGTAAGATGCGATTTCGGATTGCTCTCATAAAACACTTTTGAATCATTTGATTGGTGCACAGTGCAGACGACTAGTGAACACTTTATTTCATTGTGTTATTGCAGTATAATTAAATACCAACAGAAATTTTGAAAATGCTGATAATCATCAATAAATTTATCGCATAACACTTAAACACCGCTTGAATCTTGAATTCGAATATCTCTTCAACGATTTCATTAATCGCATTTATTTCGTTTCACTTACAAATTCGATAATTCTATCGGTTTTTGACGAATAGATTGTAAATGTTCGGCAGTCGTTGTGAACGAAATTCAAGAGCGCTGATCTCAGTGTTTGTTCCGAAAAATTTTTATTAAATCCATAATTTATGCTATCCACTCATAAGGTTTTGCGATCAACGATGTGCCTATGATCTCGTCGATGTGTCCTCACGCCATTCGTTTGCCTTCATCGTCGTCATCAGCTCCGACCTCTGATCCCGTGAACTCATCGCCTCCTCCCCGTCTATCACCACTCCTCATCGCTCGTTTCTCGCATTTCATTTGTATTCGTATGGGTGATCTGTTCAGATATTTGGTAATCAGAATACAGCTCATTCATTCAGTTCATCCCTTCTATATTCAGTTTCATAATATTGCAAATTGCTGTTCTGATTTCATGGGCTGCATCGAGTAATTTAAGGGCGATACTCAAATGGCTCGTGAATTATACACGTGTGCATTTCGTGCGAATCCGGATGATGGTCAATCGTGTAATCAGGTGTTAACTGCCACAATTGTTTGTGTACATCTTTAACGATTTACGCTTCTGAATAGTTGAATGATTCATTGAATTCGGTACACATTCAAATTTCATCACGGCGTTTCATTTGAGATTGCACTGGTGGAGAGTATCGAGAAGCATTACTTAGAAGCGTTGTATTATCACGTTCTCGCGATGAATGCTCGCGAATCGTTCACACCAGCTTCGGCGAATATCGAGCAAATTTTCAATAAATTTGCGTCGATCAATATTGGTCAGTGAGGGGCTTTTGTTCATCCGAGATATTGTATTTGTTGTTTTCACTGAAATTCTGATGTGTGATCACATTATGAGTTTGGATATTCGAAGAAGCATTTCACGGTGATGAAGATGGGTATACTGTTCACTGTTCAATAGTTTAAGTGAATTCTCAAAGTGTGTTCGGCAATGAAGTTGTTCCAATTTGCAGAAGACGATAATAATGATTACGATTCAGTTTTTCTCAAAGTGATCGGCAGATGTCATAGTGTGCGTTGTTGATTTTACAGTCATCTTTTTTGTTGTTGCCATTATATTGTATTATATTATGTTATTGTCACCATATTTTTCCGTATCATTTTCTATTTTTGTCATCATTTTTGACAGGTTCCAATATCGGTTCCGATAAGAGTCACAAAATTATTCTTACTTATTTGACGACGAATTTGAAAATCGGTTCATGATTTGTTGATCAAAGTTATGAAATAATTGTTGCAGTTGAGTTCATTAGATAAGAATGTGTTCGAACGAATGCATGAATCGCTGAGAGATTCAAAACGCAAAATTGATTACTCGACAAAACTGCGGATGTATTTCGTTATATTAGTATCAGTTTGGTATCAGCTGGGTGTATCGCAAGACGAAGTGAAGTGTTCGAATTATATTGTCAATATTATCACTGATCATTTCAGTTTTCTGTTACAACTTTCACTTATGGTTCGTTTCGTTTTTTTTGGAAATT